CCACTGACTACCCCTCTGCACCCTGCCACTGAGCCAATTCCTAATCCACCTCCCCGTCTGCTCCTCTATCCCACACCTTCGGAGCTTGCCCAGGAGGATGCTGTGAGGGASAGTGTCARAAGCCTTGCTGAAGTCCGGATAGATGACATCCACTGCTCTGCCCTCATCTGTCCAGCTAGTCACTCCTTCATAGAAGGCAATCAGGTTAGTCAAGCATKATTTCTTAAAGTTGAGATATATATGTGTATGTTACATATTTGTATATATAGGTGTTTTTAGTATATTAGGAGAAAGCGTTAGAGAACATGGTGTAGAAATGTGAACTGATAAATATCCACATTGTAGGGCATCCAGAGAGAGAGAGAGAGAAAGGGAGGGAGGGAGGGAAGGAGGGAGGAAGAACCAGGGGTTACCCCTCCAGCAGCAAGCAGGCTGGTGCAGTGGGAGAGTGTGGACTTGCTGCTGTTGGGAGAAGGCAGATAAGTTACGGAAATATTTGCTTGGGACAAGAGCCAAAGCCTGTTAGCACTGCTGTGTATAGATTAATAATTGTTCAGAGTGTAACATTGCTTTGTTTAATTGCTTTGTTGTTATTTTTTGTTGACTTATATGAGCATCCAGGATCTTTTCTTAGGAGATGACTGTGCTCATGTGCACTTTCTCCTATATGGTTTCTCAGCTGAAAGTTCTGGGATTGCAGGAATCTCTCCTGGAATTTATCTTTTGGGTTTGCTTTTAATGGATGCAGTGCAAAACAGCAGCAATCAGATATGAGCTCAAAGGGAAACACAGATTTAAAAAATTAAATGCAAGTTAGCGCTGTTTCAAATGCTATTTCAACTTGAGGGAAAACCAGGCAACTTAGTTCAAGTCCTATTTCTGTGGTAAGGAAATAACTTTCCTCTTTTTRGTATAAAGTAATTTTGGTAAATCTCCATTGAAAGCTTTTTAACATTAAATCTGTGCAGAAGAAACCTCCAGCTGGCTATTACATAACCAGCACCTTGACTTCTTTTACAGTGACCAGCTATAATAGTGTGAACGTATTCATATACAAACTACCATACACAGATGTAGTGTTTTAATGTACAGATGGTACAGATGTACTAAAACAAAATCCACTAAAAGAAAAGAAAATCTTTGTTGTTATTTTTTCTTTCATTTGTCTAGCTTTAAAATTTGTGTTGGRGGCCACAGACTAATCCCTGCAGTTGTACTTTTTAAATGCATTCTGGATTTGAGCCATATGGGCTATGTGGGGTTGTTTTTCCCTTATGATTTTTATTCTTGCCAGGTAGGTTTTGGTTCCCCTTTTTTTATTTAGGTGAAACCCATTCTGTCTTTAGTATTAAGAATTCTTTGACACTAAATTTTCTTAGCTCTAGGTAAAGATTTGCATCCTTCCTGAAGGTGAGTATATTCTGTTGAACTGATGCAGGGTGAGATGGATAACATCTGTTCATGTGAATTCAGAGTAGTGCAGCTTACTTGGGTTCACATACATTTATTACACCCGTTCTTTCATCAGGCTTTAGAAGACTTGCAATATTTCATGTCTAATTTTCTGTGCATGCCTTGTCTCTCTTTCCTCTGGTTTTCTGACTAATGAGGGGACTTTGTGCAAGAGAAGGACAGACTGAACATATTTCAGCAAGCAAAATTCTTCAGAAGAGTAATGACACCAAATGATTTAAGACCACCTACAAGTTTGCTCTTAGAAAATGGCAAGCATGCTTGCAGAAGTGTTCTTTTTTTTTTTTTTTTTTTTTTTTTAGATATTGGCAAAAGTGCTGGAATGGAGTATTCCTTGCTCCCACAGCATGGCTAAAGGGGTTGTGACTTCTCAAAATCAGAGGTACTGGGACAGTGCCTAAAGTTGAGGGGGAAGGAGAGAAAAGGAGAAAAAATTAGGCAAATACCCATTTCCTTTGTCTCTGATGGGCCTACAACTTCTTGCCTTATGATATGGTCATTTCTCTGAAAGGATGAACCAAAGCCTGTCTTGCATGCGGGTGTCAGTTTTATCTTGTTGCAGTGCCCAAGTATTGAAATTTTAGAGCTGCTGAGGAACAAAGGCCCACACATCAAMAAAGAAGCTTTTATTCCATGTTACCTGTAAACTGCTTATCAAAGGACAAGGGTGCTGAGCATAATGTTAGGAGTCTGAGTCCCATAGGACAGCATCCTGCCAAATGCTCTGATCTGTTTTGCAGTCAAAGAAAGTTGTTGGTAGCTCTGCTACAAGTGGCAAAGCCTTTAAAGGAGTTTAAAGGAGTTCTGCCATGAACTGTGTACCTGTTTGTATGAAGAGAGGAAATAATGCATTGCTCTCTGCTAGGGGTAAATAATAATTCAAAACTGGGCTTGCCTTTTCAGCCCTGGCTGCACCTTTGCTCTGGAAAAGGGCCTATACTTTGTCTAGCATGAGACATTTTGCTTTGTGATGCTCAAAAGTCATGAGGGATCTAGCAAAAAGCATGAATGCTTTTAAAACTTGGAGTGCAGGTAGGTTTATTGTGTCCTCTATTACCATTTTTTGCAGGAAACTCTTCATGCAGCCCTATTTGCACTATGCACACTGGCAAAACACTAAAATAGACCAGGACATCCCCAGGAATTTGAGTGTGCTTGAAGCTGCCTGTAGCAAATGCTGAGGTGAACTCCAAGCAGTTCTTTCATATTTAGTCCATTTTTTTTGCAGACCTTCATGCATCTAAGTGCTCTGGGCAAGGTACACGCTAAACTAGGGTTTGCATATCTAARAGTGTGTGTCACTCCTTCCTCAGGCTGTTCTAGTTTGGGGAGAAGAGCTGTTTTTAACATCATTAACACTCTGCCTTGGAGGATGATGTAAGGTTAGGCGTAAGCTGTATCTCTGCCTTCACAGCATGACTGCTTTGAAAGATAAATATTGTTGATTAATAACTAGTCTCAGTGGCTGTGTAACAGTAGATGAATAAACAGTGGCAGGCATACAATATAAGTTGAACGTAAAATGCGAGCAGGAAGAGGAAATCAAAACACTCATCCATCACTTGACAACTTAATTGCTGTCACTGATGATAAACAAGGAGAGTTTATTTCCTTGAATCTCTGCTTTTAAACATCACTGCTCTAGCATTTTGTGAGACTGATAAACAATTTCCTTTGCTGTTT